AGGAAAAAAGAAAGAGAGGATGAGAGAGAGAGAGAGAGAGAGAGAGAGAGAGAGAGAGAGAGAGAGAGAGAGAGAGAGAGAGAGAAAGAGAGAAAAGAAGATAAGAAAAAGAAGGTAAAAAGGAAAAAAAAATTTGAGAAAAGAATAAGATAAAAATTTTTAATGATTAAAGATAAGAGAAAAATATTACATTGAAAATAAAAAATACAAATCGAGGGCCTCCTTCAAGGTATGCCTCTGTTGACACAATAGCCAGCATAGGCAGGAGTATGCAGATCTAAATTAATTAGTCTCAGCAAGCCAGCAGCTGTCCCCTGAGGTTCAGGTTGATTTCCAGCTGCAAGGACCAAGTTGAGATCTCTGTCCTCCTGCTGGGTTGAACTTTGCAAGGTTCTACTGCAGGTTCCAGCTCTCTTTCCCCTGAAGTTAGACCAAGTTCCAGTGTGAGCTGCTGGTCACTCCAACTTACTGTGGTGGTATGGTATGCCTTTATCACAGAGAGATTTTTTTCACTTTTCCACTGGGCTTCAATTTTTACCTAGGAGCCTCAGAGAGGTCTTCTTTCTCTTGTTAGTGGCGGGGGTGCACACAGGCAGTGCTGTGTCGGCATCTGCGCAGCTGGACCCCTCTGCTGCACTGGGCCGAAGGGGCAGACCTACCAGAGGGTTTCTTGCTGCTTTCTTGCTCCTCTGTTGCTCTGCGCTGAAGAGGTGTGCTGAGCTTTTAAACTTGAGTCTGTTTAACAGATACTACATGGAATGAAAAATGTGTTCACTGTAGCTTTCTGTTGGATGAGCATACAGGAGGAATTCCAAACTTAATTCTTACCAATGATCTTCAGGTAGAGATATTTGCCTGTTGCCATCAGCACCAGGTCTTGTCTTTGGCTGAAAGGCTGGGAGTAGGGACACAAAGAGCAGACTGCTCCGAAGTGGGCAGGCTAAGGCCAGGTGCAAGAGAGGGTGGGCAATGGGGCACAGCAACAGGAGGAGGAAACCTCCAGTCAGCATAGGGATTCTGGTGATTTGGGTCACAATGTGCCATTCACATTGTGGAGGACATCACAAGTGTCATAGGATTGACAGGTGTGCCCAAGAGCCTAAAAAATGATACCCTCATGAAGGAGAAAGCCTGCAGTCAGCATCTGTGCAATGGCTCCTGCCCACAGCCTTCAAGGTATAGAATCAGCTTGCTCCTCTGAAAGGAGCATGCATGTCTGAACCTCCTAGGTATGCAAACAGAGAAGGCTGTGTGCTGTGTGGCCAGGGCATGATGATGAGTCCAGAGCTACTACTACTAATGATCCTTCCTAAGAACAAGTGGACTATAATATAATGCTCCTGTGTCTAGAAAAATGGTGAAGATAAACTGTGTGATAGTGAGAACTTGTAATGTCCACATAAGTGATCCCACTGTAGATGCTAAACCAAAAGGAACATGTATGATTTGTTAACCTTCACTTCTTTTCTAGGAGGAGTTTTTGAGAACGTGTGATTGGCTTGGGAATTCTGCAGCCTTTTCTAGTGCCACCTACTATAAGACAAAATCTTTAGACATAGAACCAATCACATTTGCATATTATTATACAAATATTAGCAGGAAGTGTTCTTGTTTCTCACACATTAGCATTTATCTGTATTTCCCTTCACAATCACCTTGAATCTTAGCAGGCTGACAATTTTCTCCTGTCTGGATTCATGGCCAGTCTGCTAACCTGTGAATTTTTCCTATAGTGTACATGATTGTCTTTGTCTGAACATCAGAATTAGGGCCATTCTGAATATTGAAAACCAAGACTTCCCGAGGGGGAGAGGCACAGACCAGAAACAGGAAAAATATTTTTTTTATCCTTATTTTGAGATCAACAAAGAAGCACTTGCCACCTTCTCAGAGGACTTCAGCTTTTGGAGGAATTCAGCCACGACGGATGTTTTTGTTTTTCCTCTACTGCAGTGAGCATGGCATTGCCTCATCTACCATTGCCCCCACCAGTTCCAGATTTAGCCCCAACCTTCACCCCTCTGTGTTGCCGTTTGTCCCAGTGTCACAAAATGAAGGGAGGCAAGATTTGAGGAACAGGATCAGAGGGCTGCAGATCGCTCAGGCAAACAGCAGCCTCATGATCACAACTGCAGTATTTATTGAAGTTATTCAGAACATCAGAGGAAAAGCACGTTAGCATTTTAGCTTATATCTGAAGTTATATAATATTTTGGCCAGCTGTGCTCACAAAACAACTTTGTTTTTTATTTTTTCCTTCCAACCCCTTAAAAAACATTTTTTACTTTGTCTACATCCTCTTGGGAGATTAACAAGAGACAAACAAGAATTTCTTGGCCTGCCAGTCCCACAGATGGAACTGCTTGCATTCCTTGTCCTGAGACAACCGGCTTGTGAGTCACAAAATGTCCTTACTTTTCTTCCAAGATGGATGTTCTTATGTCAAGTTCCTCTATACCTTTGTCAGCTTGAAGCAGCTCTAGAAGAAGAGACCTCACCCAATAACCATAAAACAAAAAGCCTGGAATGTTAGATTTCCCTTGCTTTAAAATGGCAGCCACATGGACTAGCAGCCTCCATGTTAAAATATGGCTTCTCCCAACAAAGTACAGGCTTCTTCTTCCCATCATGCCTCCCTTCCCACCAAAAGAGTAACCTGATACTTGCTACCTCCTAGCACCTAGTAATGTCACAAGCCCTTCCTAGTGATGTCACAGCCTCCTCCAATCTCTTAATACTACCGCACTCAACTCCACCCCAGCTCAGGCTTATCCCACCCCGCTCCTATAAAAGAAGCTCCCTGTTCCTCCATATTGCTTTTCTCTCCTTTGGTCGGAAGCAGCAGGGCAGATCCTCCCCATAATAAAGACTTATTATGGTCCTGGTCTGGTCCTGGTTTTCAGCTCTTTTTACCTAACAGAAATCAGGCAAAAATGCTACTTAGTAAATGTTCCCCCAGTATATTCTCTCCAATAGTATGTATTATTTGATTGGATATGGCAGTTTCTCCAACTAATTGAAAGCTCCTGGAATTTGGGTTAACCATATTCCCCTCCCTGCCAGCTTTCTTCCACTGAAACAACTATTCTCAGTCATATCACCATTATCAAAAGTCTATCCTTGGGCTGGGGATTTAGCTCAGTGGTGCCACCTCCTGCCTCGCAGGCACAAGGTCCCAAGTTTGATCCCCAGGTATCCCCCCAAAAAGTCTATCCTTGGGGCTCACAAGGCATCTATGACAATGAGTTCTAAAATCATGATCATTCTAGTGACAAGGCCAGCTCAGCACAGATGCAGCTCCAAGAAACTTCAAGAAAAATTATGTATGCTGACACCCCAATGTCAACTTTCTTCAGAATGGAAATAATTGAAAACTGCCACAGATTTAGTCCAGTTATTACACAGAGGAAGACACATTCGAACACCGAGAAGCATCTCTGTAGGGAAAGCTGCTTGGTCAGGCAGTCATCTGGCCACTGGTCATCTGGACAAGGTGAATGGACAGATGCACATGTCCATCTTATAAGAGTGTTAAGGCAAACTGGAATTATGAGGGGAAGTCGCCCCCAGATAAGCAGTCAACTAGGCACTGCAAACCTTGGAAAGTGCATATTCCCAGAAGAGAGGATAGCACCTGGCTAGGGACATTAGGGCCTCACTTCACCTGAGAGTCACCCTTATCTCTCAGGAAACCCTTGCAGAGGTTGGGCATATGTCCCCTGGGGAACACCCTTTTCATCATTCTTTCAGGTGAAAATTCCACTCAGCTTCACCCAGCACTGAAAAGCACTGCTCAGAGCAGTCTTCCATCCTCTCAGGTCCAGGCCAGCTCATCTGAGGGTCTGGCCCTGACCATCATGCAGCTGCATGAAAATCAACTCCTACAGACTAAACTGTAGTTACCCCAAGCTCCAAACTTCCATGGCTCAGCACTCACCATGGCTGCTCTCTGCTAGATTCCACTCCTGCAGTGCTCTGCTACCTGTCCTTTAGGTCCTTGAGGACATCCCTTTATCTCCCCAATATTGGTGGTAGGCCTCCCAAAGTGCACACACGCAATGAAGACTTGGGGTCCATGTGTCCATGAGCAGATGGGATCTTTATTGAAAGTTAATTTCCCAAATATAATAGAAGAAACAAAGCATATTCAGGCATACATATATTTTAATAGTATAGGAACACAGGGGAAAGGAATAAGAAGCTGAGCTGATTTTCAATGTAATGTGTTTTTCTGGACTCCATCTTACTTGATTTAAACTTTACACATTGCAAGGAATTTCCTATTCCAATCCTATTTTATAACAAATAAATGAAAAGTTTCTCATTTTTTTTTTACAAAAAGGAAGGACTGTTATATTGGAATGGAAAAGCAGAATCTATTCGTGATCGATGCCACACACAATCATATTCACATCAGAAATCACAATCAAACATCATTATAACAAAATTAAAAATACTTGTGGCATCAGTACTTTTCTCAGGGAAGATATTCAAGCTACTTCAATCATGCAAAAAAGGAACAAGTTTTCATAAAATCAAAAAGGAAGAATTAGTTTTCAAGTAACCCAAATAAAACAGACATCAAAATGGTGTGCAATGAATTTTCCCCATCCTACTCTAGCTGTTCACTGCTTAGAAAACTGCCTGTTCTCCTCAAATAGGTTGAAGAACGGGCCTCACTTCAAATGGGGTGGGAGCCAAACTAGTCATGTGGCTTTGGAACACTCCATATCTTTGGAATCCACTTGGCCCATTTGAAGGCCTTGACTATACCTTGTTCCTCTCTCACAGCCTCATCATACAGAATTGGGTAGGAACGGGGATCTCTCCTATGAAGCCTGGCCAAATGTTCTAGAAGTTTCATCTTGCTGGTTTCAGCATGGGCCCTTGGACCCCACAGGAACTCATAAGAAGCTGGGTAACTATTAGGAACCTGCCGATATTCCAAGTACTGTTCCCGTACCAAATCCACGGTGATGAATTTCCAGGGCTCCCCAATTTCAATATTATCTTTCTGAGCTAACATCTTCCTAATCCTCAGTACTTCTGCTATGTCTGCCTCACTGGCACAGTTGCCCTTTATGAAGATGATAGTCAGGATGACTATCAGGACACTGATTGGAGGAAAGCTCTTATGCTCATCATTCAGTAATCCATTGTAAGTGAGGCCTAATATGGGGACAAGGACATATATGTGGCTAAGGGGTTCCACTTCCCTCATATCAATGCCAAAGCCTACAGACAGGCACTTACAGAAATCCCTGAAGATCAGAGGGAACTGTTTATGGTAATCATGGTCCACAGTGTTCAGCATTTCTTCCATGGTGATCAGCTCATTCTTTTGATACTTGTGGAACAGGAATGGCACCAATTTTTCTAACTTGTCATTTAAGAACACATGGCGCAGTATCTGAGGGATGATTACATCCTCTGAGGGGCTTGGATCCTTCGATTCTTGCCAGCTGGAGCCCTTGCTGCATTGGCTCCTCTGACTAGAAGTCATGGTAGTAGGGAAAGAGAAGATGCCCCAAGGATTCTGAGGACAGCTTGGTGTCTCAGGCCCCAGCCCTTCTTTGGGTGTGGCCCCAATTAAAGCATGTGAGAAAAAAGAAGCAGTGGAACCAGTGTCTTCTGCTTCCTCTACCTCATCCTTGAGACCCTGCACACCCATGAGGACCCTTGTCTTTCTTTGGGCAGGACAGTCTCCCCCTACACTGCTGTTTTTCCACCTCTGACCATGAGGCATCATGATGTTCTGTGGGACAGCAAGAGCTTGCTGAAGACTCAGATGCCTGGAAAAGAGAGAGAGAGAGAGAGAGAGAGAGAGAGAGAAGAGACTATTAGTGTTCTCAGCTGAGAACAACACACTTTTGCCTCCCAGAAAGACCCATTATAGCTTTTCTCCTTTTTTGGGTTCTCTAGGTACTTTACAGGATCCTAAGGCTTTACAGGATCCTGTCTTCCCCTGTCCTTGTCCCTATGACCCTGGAACACAAAGTGAGGATGCTTTTTAGGGTGCAGTTGAACTGAAGAGGACAAGGCTCTAGGGCATACAGTATGGCATATGGATCCTAGTACTGCGAGGTGTCCCTTGCTCGGTTACAGGTGGAGCCCTAGGTACATGTTCAGTGCATGCATCTCACCTTTACTTACACTGTCTGGGCCTCCTGTGCTGCTTCACAAGAAGACTTTCACTGCCCGGTTTCTGGAACTTCTGTAAGACACATAGATGGTCCCTCAGGCTGCAGAGCAAAAGCACAGTCCTGCTCTCCCAGTCCTCACAGGAAGGGTGGGCTGGGCTCTGTAAGCTCCCCACTTTTTGGGGTGAATTGTCCCTTCTGTGGTCACTCAAGACCTTCAAATGTCCTTGAGCAGGGTCTAGACCCCATCCCCCTGGTGATCTGAGACAGACTCAGAAAAAGTGTCTCCCTCCTTGATAGAGAACAAAAGGAACCAAGGAGAAACACATCTGACCACAGCTGCTGGAGGCAGCAGATGGAAATGGAAAAATTCAGCATGGTCCACATACCCTAGGAAAGGGAACCTGGTCCATCTTTATCTTAACAAATGGTTAGGTCTATGACTTCCTGCAATGACTTGGGGCCACCATCTTTAAAACACAGCCCTATCTCTATGATACATTCAAAGAGTCAGTGGGGGAATGTGAGTTCACCTATGTTTCCTGGGTCTGACTGCAGGTGACAAAAAGGACAAGTTGAGGCTAGGTTTGGTTAGGTGAATAATTTCCCTCTGTCTCACCTAGACTCTGTGCAGACCCTGGTGTCATACTTGTGCTGTCCCCATTCCAGGACCCTTGTACCAAGGTCTTTACCTCACTGAGTCCAATCATACAGACCTAAGAGCAGCCTCAGCCTGATAGCTCTGCCCAGACTTCCTGGGATGATGGCAAAAACAGTTCCGATGTCAGAGGACCACACAACTGTCTGTGTTCAGATCAGGAGTACCCTACATTCTCCTTTACAGTCCTCACCTTGACCATTGGCAGATATGGGAAGTGTGTGTCTCCTGACAAGGTGGAGCTCTCTATGCCAATCTGAAGACATCATCTTAGATTGAGTCCCTCACCTCCCCGAGATCTCCAGGATTCTCAAATAAATGAGCAGGCACCCATCATGCCACCCTTACTTGGGCCATCAATACTGACAGCAACATCCATGCTCATCTCTCCTGTGATGCCTCCACCTGTTATGGTTTAAGTCTAGGTTTCACCCCCAAAGTCCCATGGGATCATAGGGGAGATCTATAGGAAGTGATTGCATTATGGGGCTTACAGCTGATGTGCTATTAAGAGGTAGGGCCTTTTAGGAAGAGGAGGGTCACTGTGTATGACAGGGAAGGTTATATCTGCCTTTCTGGCTCCTTCCTTCACCCTCTGCTTCCTGCATGACTTGTGGTAAGCAACTTTCCTCCCAATAGGCCCTTTCTCTATGCTGTTCTGCCTTGCATCTGGCTAACTATAGACTGAGACCTCTGGAAATTTTAGTCCCAAATCAACTTTTCTAACAGTAAACTGCACTGTCAGCTATTGTGTCTGAGTGAGGAGAACATAAGTAAGGCATCCTCTATATGTTTCTGTAGTTTCTAAATTTTCCCTTCTGTCAGTAGCTGCCCACCCTTATTCCCATCTCCACCCAAGATGAGCTAATCTCCTATAGTTCTTATCTCCTGGAATTCTCCCTTTTGACCCATGGTAGAAGTAGCATGTCATTAGAACCTCCTAGGCCCTGACAACAGGAAGATTCTGTGAGTTCTGTTGTTTCTGGGCTACAGACATTCTCAACCCACAGGAAGGACCCATCCCTTGAGTCTGTCAACTCCTGGAGTCCTTTGTTTACTAACCATATTTAGATCCCCCTATTGACCTGTGGTCACCTCTTGGAATAAGGTCCTCATCTCCATGAGTTCTCCCACCTGAATCCACTTATCGCAATTTATATACAGCACCCTTATCAGGAAATCTAGGCTGATAACAGGGGACTCCACTCTCTGTGGGATCCCCTTGTTTATGGATGCAGTTTACCTTCAAACTTTCAGTGCTGGAAAACAGCAGAATGGAGAGCAGTAACAATTCAGCTTCTCCAAGATTTGTAATCCAGACTCTGGAAAATCAACTCGGGGAGAGGGACAAAAGAGAGAAGTAGATGACCCAGAATGTGGAAGGAACTGAAACAAATCTTGCAAACTACAGAGACTACTTTCAACTTTTAATTATAAATTGTGCTGCTATAAAAAGAACATATGCCCATTAACAGATGAATTAATAAAGAAAATGTGGTGTTTATGTATAATAGAGTACCATCCTGCCATAGGGAAGGATAACATGAGATATTTTTAGGTAAATAGATGAACCTTGAGAACATAGTTTTAACTGAAGTAAATCAGACACAGAAACACTGTTTATCTTGTGTGTAAAACCCAAAGTATAAACACAGAGCCAAGTGGAGGATATATATAAAAGGAAGCAACAAGATTTGGTTCCAATAGGAAGGGGAAGAAGAAATGGGGAAGAGGGTTGGGGAAGAAAGGAGAAGGGATTTAATGGAAAAAAGAATTGAAGGAAAAATTATAAATAGAACCTCCGTAAATGGGAAAGGGAAAAAGCGTTGGAGGGAAAGGAGGGTAAGGAGACAAAAAAGAATTAAGATGCATTATGTATATGTACGATTCTCCCATGATGAATGTGATCAGTATGTACTGAAAACATGCACTAACACAGAGACAGACACACACATACACACACGCACACACACACACACACACAAAAAAAACTACAGAGACACTGAAGAGACAGACTATATCATGGAGAAGGGACCACATCATTCTGGACTTTTCCCTGGCTCCTGGTTCTTGGGAAATTCATTGAATGTGTAGAACCAAAGCAAAACCTGGAGACTCCAGAAGGTCTCAGGGAGAAAGGCGGTGGTTCAGAGAACTGGTGCTTGTTGCCATCTGCAAGGCAGTGTGGAGTTCTGCTTCCTCGGAGTCCGTACACAGGAAACAGTGGGTGAAGGACCCCTGTGCAGGTTTCTGCCATGTCCTTGGAGAGTGCATGGGCTTGGGTTCCATTCTGGGAGAGGTTGAGTGTTTGAAACTGGGACTCAGAACAGCTACAAGACAGCTTCCCTTCAGGGTTCTCAGTGCTACCTTCCACTGTGACTGGATGAGAGATAGCCTCAAAAAGCAGCTGTGGACCTGGAGTGGACTAGAAAGAGACCCCATGAAGGTTATAAACTCAGCTGGAAAAGATACAGGCCCTGTCTTGGTAGCCAGAGGGCTGGTCTAGCATGAATTACTGCAGATTTGAAAATCTAGGCATTGATTATTTGAGCCCTTGCAAAGACTAAAAAACCCAAATCAAAACCAAACAAATGAATAAATGGAGAATAATAAATGAAGAATGAATAAATTTAAGAGTTGGTTCTTTGAAAGAATAAACAAAATTTTCAAACTTCTAGCCATTCTTACTAAAACAAAGAACAAGTACAGCCAAATCCAAGCAATTAGAAGCATTAAATGCAAAATCATAATGGACTCTACACCAAAATCCTAAAGATCATTCAGAAGTATTTTTAAAATCTAATAAAATAGAAAATTCAGAAGATATATAGATAGATATAAAATCCTAGATATATATGAACTCCCAAAGCTAAAAAAAACATGCACAATTACCAAACAAATCAATATCAGGCAGTAAAATTGAAAAAAATTTATATTAAAAACAAGCTACCAAAAAAACCCAGAATTTGATAGATTCGCTACTGAATTCCAGGAGAACTTTAGAGGAGATCTAGTGTCAATACTCAAATTCTTTAACAAAACTGAATGGGAAGTAGGACACCCAAAGACATTCCTGGAAGCAAGCATTACCTTGATCCCAAAACCAGAAAAGAATCAAACAAAAAAAAGAGAACTACATACTGGTCACTTTAAAGAACATTGATGTACAATCTTTACTAATATTCTAGCAAGTAGAACACAACAAATCATCAAAAAGATTATATATCGTGATGAAGCAAGATTTGTTCCACAGATAAAGAGTTGGTGCAGAAATAAAAAAATTAATGTATCCCATAAAGAGAAACAAGTACAAAAAATACACAATCATATAAATAGACACAGAAAAACATTTGCCCAAATCCAACATCCACTCATGATTAAATCTCTAAAGAAATCAGGTGTAGAAAAACCTACTCTCAATCTTATAAAATCAAACTAGGACAAACTAAAGGCCAAATTTGCATTAAATGGAGAAAAGCTGAATGTTTTCCCTCTGAAGGAAAAAGATAAGGTTGCGCACTATCACCACTCCTTTTAAATATAATTCTCAAAACAATAAGCAGAGCAATCAGGCAAAAGAAGGAAATTAAAGGGGCATATATAGAAAAGAAAGAATTAATGTATCATTATTTGTAGATAACATGATCCTCTACCAAAAATCTACAAAACCACTACCAAAAACTCCTATAACTAATAACCAAATTT